TGTAGTTGGCCTTAGCTTATTCAGGATCCTTCTAGAGGATATACTTCCTGTCCCCAAGGAACAGATCATAACTGAGAATAGAACTGCTGTTGCTGCTGGACCTGGCCCATCATAGAGGTGATTAACCGTTAGTTATTTAGTACCTTTCTTTTTTGTGAAGAACCTGTGTAATCAAATCCTACTGTTGCCCTTCCTGGGGACTGGGTGTGAAACAGACATCTGGTACATTGTCTTCAGTTCTCTAGCAGTTGGAATTGGGTTCTGGTTTAGTCAGAGAAAGCCAATTTCTGCCTTACCTCCTTTTAACTCAACCTCTACTGTTCTGTCTTTTTTTAAAAAAAAATTATTTATTTATTTATTTATTTGAAAGAGTTACACAGAGAGAGAGGAGAGGCAGTGAGAGAGACAGAGGGAGGTCTTCCATCCGATGGTTCACTCCCCAGATGGCCTCAACGGCCAGAGCTGTGCCAATCTGAAGCCAGGAGCCAGGAGCTTCTTCCAGGTCTCTCACACAGGTGCAGGGGCCAAGGACTTGGGCCATCTTCTACTGCTTTCCTGGGCCATAGCTGAGAGCTGGACAGGAAGTGGAGCAGCTGGGGGGGATGCTGGCATTTCAGGCCAGGACGTTAACCCACTGCGCCACAGTGCCAGCCCCATACTGTTCTTTCTTTCTCCCTACTGTTTCCTCCAAAGTACCAAATGAGCTCTGAGGACTGTCCTACAATCAGTGGAATCAACCCAATATCATTTTCCATTTCTCTAGTCCTAAGTACAACAAACCATATCCCAACCCAGATCTCTGTAATAAAGCAATCACTAATGTAAATTTGGTGGCTATATTCCAGACATTCAAGACATGTTCTTAGGAAGAGCTTATGCAGGGCTTTATTTCTATAGCTGGTGACCCCTGCCATGTGATTATTCCTTCTTATGTCTTCCCTGTCCTCACCCCTCATCACCGCTGTGACTCTCTGAAATTGGCCCTGTGAGTTTTGTATATTGCTATTTAGGGTGGGAAGGAGGGAGCCTAGAATCCAGAGCTCTTGTGGGAAGAATCCTGAGCTTCTTTATGAGAAATAGTGCAACATGATGGTTCCAGAAAGACTAATAATGCCCTGGTGCATAATTAGGCAGCTGACTGCCATGATTCCAGAGGAATTAATAACTGTCTGTAAAACTGCAATTATTTTTTTTCTTTTGGATAGGCTATAACACCATAAGAGAGGAAATGAAGGAAAACAGAAGTATTGGCACAGAAAATCCGTAATTAAGTATTTATCCACCAACCCATAATAGCTCAGTGCTAGCTATTCCAATCAGCTTTACATAACTGTGTAAAGCCCCGGTGCTGTGCCTTTCCTTCCTCCTCTGCACAAATTAATGAGGACTTTCCCCATGATATTCCTTGCTGTTACCAATATCAATGCACTTACCAAAAGAGTGCTTGACCCTCTTTAACCTCATAGCCTAAGACAAACTGATGAGAATTGATTGAAAGTTATATGACAAAGAGGAAATTCGACATTAAGAATCTTCTAAAGTTAGGATTAACATGCCCACTCTGATATCTGTTACCCACAGATGGGTAAAATGACATGTTAACTAAACTGCCTCACACATAGGTAGGGAATGTTATGATACAGAATAAGATTCTCTGAATGTGACAGTTCCCTCCTTCACCAATGCAGGTAGTGATGTAAACATTTTGAGAACAGGAAAGGAATGTTTAGCCTTTTTATGTCCCTGATGATAGTTTAGGACAAAGTATAGAAATTTGTAGACTAGATAGTCCTTTTCTGATTATTAACCACACACAAAAAATTCTCTAGAGAATTGTAACTGTGGTTAGGCAGTGCCAGAGTCTACTCTGAACCCCTGCGAAGGGAATTCTGATGTCTTCCTCTCTGGTGCAGACTCAAGGAACATGTCCGATCTCATAAGCATGAAGGAGAAAAGCTTTCCCTACCCCGGCATCTCAAAGTAGTGGGCCAGATTGAGCACTTGGTGATCACACTGGGCTCTCTCCGCCTCGACTGCCCAGCAGCTGTGGTTGGTGAGTAGAATTGGAGACTGGTCCTGTGAACCCTAATATAAACCTCCCCTCTATTTCCACAAAACCCTCATGAGATCTCTCGCCTGTAAATATTGACTTCTTCAAAATCCCTGGTCCCCATGTTCCTGTATTCTAGACCTTGTTCCCATTTTGCCCTCCAAAGTACTAGATGGACCTTGAGCTTCATTCAGGCCCTGCTGAGAATCAATCAGAAAAAGGAGTATGAAACTCAGATAAAGAAATTCAAGGAGCAAGAAAACATTTTTGTGTTCAGGTGACAATGTCCCCTGCAAGCTTTCCATGAACTAGTTAGTAGCAAAGGGCAAGATCTTCCTCCTTTGCCATAAATACACAGCACCTCCTACACCTCCTTACACTTTCTAGTCTACTGTAAGTTCTTGGTTTTAGTGTACAAATTCTGAGTTTGAATCTTGACTCAATCACCTTTTAACTGTGGGAAAATTACTTTAATAAAACAGTTGCTCAACAAGTGTTTATTAGAACAGACAGACAGATGGATGGATGAAATCATCCCAACACAAAGTGAAATATACTGTTTGAGTACTCGTTATAGCATTAAGTCTCAATGTACAGCACATTAAGGACAGAGATCCTACATGAGGAGTAAGTGCACAGTGACTCCTGTTGTTGACTTAACAAATTGACACTCCTGTTTATGGCATCAGTAATCTCCCTATGCTCCAGTCATGAGTTTCCAAGGCTATGGAAGCCCCTTGAGTTCTCCGACTCTTATCTTGTTTAGACAAGGTCATAGTCAAAGTGGAGGTTCTCCTTGTGTTTCTATGGGGGTGCAAACTGTTGAAAGCTTTACT